CCCTGCTGCTGCTGCTGCTGCTGCTGCTGCTGCTCCTGCTGCTGCTGCTGCTGCTGCTGCTGCTGCTGCATGCATATGGGGTTGCAGCAGGTGCACACACGCGTCGCCAGCAGCGCGCAAATCGCTACGTTGCAGGCAGCAGTGTAGTGGAAGGCCTTCATCACAGCAGAAAACCCACCCACCTGCAGCAGCAGCAGCAGCAGCAGCAGCAGCAGCAGCAGCAGCAGCAGCAGAAACACACAGCAGCAGCAAACAAACAATCACCAACTCCTGCTGTTGCTGCTGCTCTTGATCCTCACTACCCTTCGCGCTGTCGCTGCTGCTCCTGCTGGTTCTTCTGCTGCAGCAGCAGTTCCTGCTGCAGTACGAGTTGCAGCAGCAGCAGCAGCAGCACCAGCAGCACCAGCACCAGCAACAGCAGGAGCGCCAGCAGCAACACCAGCACCCCAGCAACAGCAACAGCACCACCACCACAAGCAGCACCAGCACCAGCAGCAGCACCAATAGCAGCAGCAGCAGCAGCAGCAACACCAGCACGAGCACCAGAAGCATCAGCAGCAGCAGCAGCAGCAGCAGCAGCAGCAGCAGCAGCAGCAAGTATAATACCTTTTGAAAAAGATCAAAGCTAAGTGTCATGAGTACTCCTCTGTTTTTTTCATCGACGTGAAGTTTATATAAAATATCGCAAACATCAGAAAGGTAAGACAGAGACTGACCAATGGTCAGGCCCTTTATGCTGAACCTCCCGCTGCTCCTGCTGCTGCTCCTGCTGCTGCTGCTGCTGCTAGTGTTGCTGCTGCTGCTGCTAGTGTTGCTGCTGGTGTCTATTTCCATCTCCGAAGAGTTGCTGGAGGAAGCTGCTGCTGCTCCTGCTGCTGCTGCTGCTGCTGCTGCTGCGCGTTCAGCATCTGCTGCAACGGCAGCTGGTTCAGGCATGACATACTGCAACTTGCTGCTGCTGCTGCTGCTGCTGGTGGGAGTAGCAGCAGCAGCAGCAACAGCAGCAGCAGAAGGTAACGCATGCAGCAGCGGGGGTATCGGCAGAGGAACAGCAGGAATCGAAGACAGCAAGCCCCGCGCTGTCTCCGCGATGAGAAACAAATGAGCTGAAGCAATCTGCTGCTGCGGCGGCGTCTTGCGGCCCACCCGCAGCCCCCCCCCGTTTATCTGCCGGCTCACCTGCAGCAGCAGCAGCAGCAGCAGCAGCAGCAGCAGCAGCAGCAGCAGCAGCAGCAGTGAGGGCAGTTGATGCAGCAAAAAATTCGGAAAAACATGCAGCAAAAAAAACGCATGCAGCAGCAGCAGCAGCGGCAGCAAATGCAGCAGCAGCAACACCGGTTTGCAGCAGCAGCACCCACAGCAGCAGCAGCAGCAGCAGCAGCAGCAGATGGTGTTGCAGCAGGTATCTTACCATGCACAGGAAATTCCTACAGGTAATGCATGCAGCCCGCAGCAGCTCCTGCAGCACAACGGGGCTGTCTGCTGCTTCCCCAGAGACAAAAGCAGCGCTGCTGCAGCTGCTGCTGCTGCTGCTGCTGCTGCTGCTGCTGCTGCTGTTACTTCTGCTGGTGGCTCCCGCACTGCGTCTGCTGTCACTACCAATATCCACACTGCCACTACCGCTGCTGCTGCTGCTGCTGCTGCTGCTGCTGCTGCTGCTGCTGCTGCTGTAGCCTGCTGGCAGCGGCGGAGGAGAAGAGTACGCGAATTCTCCGAGCGAGCTCCAGAGCATATCGTTGTTAGAGAGTGGGTGATCAGGTGGTGGTGCTGCTGGCCCCCTGTGCTGCTGCTGCTGCTGCTGCTGCTGCTGCTGCTGCAGCTGCTGCTCGTGCAGCAGCCTGCTGGCGCGCACCGACGGGTGCTCGTGGCAGTTGTGTTTCAGGCTCAGCAGCGAGGGGTTCTCTCCCTCAGCAGGGGGCGTGCATGCATAGAGCAGCTGCAGCATCCATGTATAAAGGGGCTGCAGCAGCAGCAGCAGGTGGCTTAGGTGCAGCAGCAGCAGCTGCTGCAGCTGCTGCTGCTGCGCGAATGCTGCTGTTCTCGTTGGGGCTGTACCATACGCAAGACAAAACTCCCGGTGTAAAGACAGCAGCAAAGTCATCGAGTTGCTGCAGCCGTGCAGAGAGAAAACCAGCTCCTTTCTCTCCTGCTGCGGCACATATCTCAGGGGCTCAGGCAGCTGCTGCTGCTGCTGCTGCTGCTGCTGCTGCTGCTGCTGCTGGTTCTGGTTGCGGGGCCAGAAGCCGCATTTTCTCCATCGTTGTTTCACCGCCAGCAGCCGCTGCAGTGCTGTGAGAGCTCTATCGAGCAGCAGCTGCTGCACCGCTTGCTGCTGCAGCAGAGAGTCATAAGGAGCAGCATGCCGCAGCAGGTGTACGAGGGGGTGCTGCGGGAACAGCTGCAGCAGCCCGGGGGGCAGACAGCTGCTGTCGCTGAGCTGCAGCAGCAGCATGATGCCCCCCCGAGACACAAACCGACGCTGCGTTTCTGCTGACGCCAAGACAGCCGACAAAAAACGCGCGAGGTTTGCTATGCGGTCCAGCAGCCACTCAGACGCAGAGCTCCGCAGCTGCACACAACAGCAGCAGCAGCAGCAGCAGCAGCAGCAGCAGCAGCAGCAGCAGCAGCAGCAGCAGCAGCGGCAGGAGGAAGGGCGGGAGAAAAGGAGGATGAGGAGAGGCTGCAGCAGCATGTGCGACGATGCCAACTGCTACAAACACAGAAACAGCAGCAACAGCAGCAGCAACAGCAGCAGCAGCAGCAGCAGCAGCAGCAGCAGCAGCAGCAGCAGCAGCAGCAGCAGCAAGGTGTTACCTGCAGGTCTGAGACGTCCATTGGTCTTTGCTGCGCCTTGCGTCTGGTCTCTGCTGCAGCAGCAGCAGGGGGCACGGGCCTCCACGGCTGCAGCTTTCCCGCAGCAACGATGAGCTGCTGCAGCAGCAGCAGCATCTGCTGCACCAACACGTCGCGGGCCTCTGAACCCCCCAACGAGTCTGCTGCTGCTGACGAATTCGCTATACACCCCAGCACCTCATCCAGTGCTGTCCCCAGCTGCAGCAGCAGCAGCAGCAGCAGCAGCGGCAGCAGCAGCAGCAGCACACACACAGCATCATCACATATGCAACAGAACAGATGCAGCTGCCGCTGCAGCAGCAGCAGCAAGACGGCCGCAGACACAGAGATACAGGCAGCAACACAGCAGCAGCAGCAAATACAAGCAGCAGCAACAAATACAAGCAGCAGCAGCACCACGCTAAACTACGCATGCGCCAGGACACTCGACCAGCAGCAGCAGCAGCAACAGCAACAGCAGCAGCAGCAGCAACAAGGGCAACAGTAGTAGCAGCAGCACCAACAGCAGCATCGCCATCTGAATCATCACAACGAGCAACAGCAGCAGCAGCAGCAACAGCAGCAGCAGCAGCAGCAACAGCAGCAGCAGCAGCAGCAGCAGCAGTGTGTTTACCCCTGCAGCAGCCTCTCCGAATCTATCAAGCAGCACAACGTCAGCAGAAGCAGCAGCATGGACGAGGAGAGAGCATGCAGCCCATGGAGAGAAGCTGCTGCTGCTGTGCTGCAGCGCCCCCTGAAACGACAGCAAGTCTTGCTGCTGCAGCTGCATGTGCCGCTGCAGCAGCAGCAACGCGTCCTTCTCGGCTTGGATAGCACCTGCATCGTCTTGATCTGCTGCTTTTGCTGCTGCTGTTGCTGCTGTTGCTGCTGTTGCTGCTGCTGATGATGATGATGATGATGCAGGTTCTGCTGCTGCTGCTGCTGCTGCTGCAGTGCTCCGCGTTGCAGCAGGCCCAGACACCTCCATAGAAATCGACTCTTCAGCACCAGTTGCTGCTGCTGCTGCTGCTGCTGCTGCTGCAGGTGCTGCTGCATCGGCATTTGATGCAGCATCTGTGACGGGTTGATTGCTTGCTGCAGCAGCAGTTTGCTGCTGCTGCTGCTGCTGCTGCTGCTGTTCCGACTGTCCCGTTTGTGAACTTTCTCCCTGCTGCCCTTCTCCCTGCTGCTGCTGCTGCTGCTGCTGCTGCTGCTGCTGCTTGTTTTGCTGCAGTTTATCGAGCTGCTGCTGCACCATCTCCCCTACTTTGTCTTGTCTTAGGGCCCGCAGCCCGGCTGTATGTGAAGCGAGAGAGGTGATGAGGGCCCCCAGGGAGTTTAAGCACCCTTCATGCAGCAGCACGCATTGCTGCGCTAGCTGCTGCCGCCGCAGCAGCAAACCCATATTCTGCTGCTGCTGCTGCTGCTGCTGCTGCTGCTGCTGCTGCTGGTGGTCTCCGGATGCTGGCAGTGGCAGCGGCTGCTGATGATGATAGCGGTAAGGGATGAACCCACCCTCCTTCTGCTGCTTCTGCTGCTGCTGCTGCTGCTGCTGCTGCTGCTGCTGCTGCTGCAGGTAGAGACGCAGGTAAGATGCATGCACGCTGCTCAGCAGCAAAGCCACCACCGGCAGCTGGCTGATTGCTGCTGCGTGGCGGGGGGCATCGGAGACAGCGTCGGTGATGACGGAGAAAAAAGAGGCGACGCAGCCAACCCCAAAACTAAACCACACACACAAACCCTAAACCCTAAACCCTAAACCCTAAACCCTAAACCCTTGAAAACACTGTATGTTGTATATATATACTGACAGCAGCAGCAGCAGAAACCTTCACAGCAACAAAACACAAACAAAGCAGAAACAGCAGCAGCAAATGCAGCAACAGCAACTGCATCATCACCACCACCACCACAACCACGCCGCCACCGCTCCTCCCCCTCCCCCTCCTCCTCCCGCTCCACCTCCTGCTGCTGCTGCTGCTGCTGCTGCTGCTGCTGCTGGTGCTTACTGTTCTGGGTTAGCGATGATGTCGGCGCAGAGGACAGCGAGAGGGGCCCTGGGTGTGAGCATATCGTAGAGAAAGGGAGGGTGCAGCTTGTGGTTGGCCGCAATAAAATAAAACTGTTTTGTGGCTGTCTTCAGCACGCAGCGTCGAGTCTCCACCTCGCATGCCTTCAGCCAGTATAGTAAACGCTCGTCGTCGCTACCCTGCAGCAGCAGCAGCAGCAGCAGCAGCACCAGCAGCAGCAGCAGCAGCAGCAGCAGCAGCAGCAGCAGCGGCGGCGGTTGCAGGTGCAGATGCAGAGAATTAGGAATGGTAAAGAGACAAACAAATTCAGAAAGAAACAATGCATGCGACAGAAGAAATAAAAATATAGAAACAAAAAAAAAAAGGAGACAGAAAAAAGAAAAAAGAATACAGGCAGAGACAGAAAAGGAGACAAAAGAGATAACAAAGAGTAAAAAAAGAGAAAAAAGGAGACAAAAGAAGTAAAAAAGAGTACAAAAAGAGAGAAAAAAGGAGAGAAAATAAAAAAATAAAAAAAAAAGGAGACAGAAGAAGTGGCTGTGCTGCTGCGAGCACTCACATTTGCTGGGTAGACCCATCGCTCCGTCCAGTCTATGCCGGCGTTGGAGCAGCAGCAGCAGCAGCAGCTGCTGCTGCTGCTGCTGTTGCTGCTGCTGCTGCTGCTGCTGCTGCTGCTGCTGCTGTCGGAAGATGTCACAGGCTGTTGTTGTTCCCCGTCTACTGCGAGTTGACTGCTGCTGCTGCTGCCGCTGCTGCTGCTGCTGCTGCTGTTGTTTGTGTGGTTGTCGCGTCTGCTGCTGCAGCAGCTGCAGCTGCAGCAGCAGCCCACCCAGCGCTCATACTGCTGCATGTCTTTGACTCGCTGCTGCATGCATGCAGCATCATAAAGCATGCGTTCCTGAAGCCTCTCTGGCAGCTGCAACTCTTCTTGTATAAACTGCAGCAGCTGGCTGCTGCTGCTGCTGCTGCTGCTGTGCTGCTGCTCCACGTGCGCCTCCAACGCCCGCAGCACTATCATCTGCACCGGCACCAGCAGCGGGTCCCGGTGACGCAAAAAACCAATCAGTGCTCGCAGCAAACCTACACACAAACCCTAAACCCTAAACCCTAAACCCTAGACCCTAGACCCTAGACCCTAGAGCCTAGAGCCTAGACCCTAGACCCTAAACCCTAAACCCTAAACCCTTGATACTGGATCAGAATGCCCCCAAACCCTTGACGTCTAAACCCTAAACCCTAAACCCTAAACCCTAAACTGGCCGGTGAACTAAACGCTAAACCCCACCCCGCCTCACGGGGTGTGTATCCTCTAAACCCTAAACCCTAAACCCTAGACCCTAAACCCTAAACCCTAAACCCTCGAGGGTGTATTAGATACTTGGTTGTACGAAAGCATGTATGACGCTGTGTGTGGTGCCGACGATGGCTGAGTAAGCAGCAAGAAGATGCATTAGGGTTTGCATGCGGTTGAGGTCTGCTTCGAGCTGCTGCAGCGCCCCCTTCCTAGCAACCCTATCCTCCCAGGAGCGCAGTGCTGCTTCATCAGGGGCCTCAACCACCACATACTCTATCACTGGCTGCTGCTGCTGCTGCTGCTGCTGCTGCTGCTGCTGCTGCTGGTCGGGTTGGTCCTGCTGCTGCTGGTGGTCCGGCTGCTGCTGCGCCTGCTGCTGCTCTTTCTGGCAACACCTGCACCTGCTACTACTTCTGCTGCTGCTGTTGCTGCTGCTGCTGCTGCTGCTGTTGCTGCTGCTGCTGCTGCTGCTGCTTGGTGGTGCTGTGTGTATGCGAGAGACACGAAAGGGGCGATCGATGAAGGGGTTCGCCAGCAGCCGCCGCAGCAAAGACAAAAACAAACCGTACGGAGAAAAAACCCCAACCAACCCCGCTGTTTGTCTGTACAAAGCCTTGTCCTCCTGCACACAAACCCTAAACCCTAAACCCTAAACCCTAAACCCTAAACCCTAAACCCTGAAGGAAAAAGCTAGACAGGCGAAGCAGCGATAACCCTCAGCAGCAACTCTAAACACCAATGGACTCGACAGCATCTGTGTCCCCCGCAGCGCTCCTTCGCTGCTGCTGCAGCAGCAGCTGCAGCAACAGCTGCTGCTGCAGCTGCTGCAGCTGCTGCTGCAGCAGCGAGGGTATGGCGGAAGAAGGTGCAGCAGCAGTTGGTGTGTTGCTGCTCACAAGGAGGAGAGAGAGCAAGTCTGCTGCCAGCAGCAGCGTGCGGGAGCTGATGCGTTCCCCATGTTTAAGGAGAGCAGCAAACTCAGGCAGCAGCAGCGGCTGCTGCTGCAGCAACTGGGAGAAAGAAGAAGGAGATACGATCATAAAGCAAGACAAAGAACACAAATACACATCCACTAAACCCCCCCGGTATGCAGCACAACGCAGCCCGTGCAGCAAACGCATACGGTGACGCAGCGCCTGCAGCAACACAACAGCAGCAGCAGCAGTGCTGCTGCAGCAAGAAGACACCGTCCCATCTGCATGCGTGATGGTGCGGCGAGA